CGACTGCAATGTTCACTGGACATTGTTGAGTTTTACGATGCCAGCATTTTTAATAATGGATTGATGGGGTTCGGTTTATCTGCTGCAAACACCACCGTCCAAGAACATACGTATTGCATACCTTGTTCTCATTTATTTGAGTTACATTTTGCATATTTTGCATCATTAGACAAATGACAAATAAGGCTAGGATTTTTGACTTGACCTGATTGTTGGTACGAGCTCTCTAATTAAGTGATGAGACTGGCAACGTATACTAAGTGACATATAAATCCGAACACCCAGTTTAAATGGTTTTATTTTAATAAAAGTTGGTGAATGTATTTATCTTACTGTAAATAACAAGTGAAAACATTTTCAGCCTTATCAGTTGGACATTCCGGTTTTTATACTGCTTTTTTTTAATTCACTAACGCTCTAAAAATGAATATTTCAGCCGCAGTAAAGAATCAGGGTTGGCGGATTTTGGTTCTTGACATCCTTTACGATCGGTTACGATGCCTAGAGTACGGAGACCTGTACGATTTCGTCAACTTAGTGAGTTTGATAGGGGCCGTATAGTGGGACTTCGGGAAGCTGGACTTTCTTTTCGGGCAATTGCAGTTAGAGTGCAAAGAAGTGTAGACACTGTGGTTAGGTGTTGTCAGGCTTGGCTTCGAGAAGGCCGTACGCAAAGAGCAAGGGGCACTGGATGCCGCCGTAGAACAACAGACCGTGAAGATCGCCGCCTATGATTATTGGCCTTAAGGGACCGTTTCTCCACTACCAGGTCCATTGCAAATGAATGGTTTGCAGAACACGGAATACCTATTGGCATGCGAAGTGTTTACCGACGAATGAGAAGTTTTGGGTTGTTTTCATACCGGCCACACTGGGCCCTCCCTTTAACTCGAAAACACCGACGTAATCGCCTTGAGTGGTGCAGACAACGGTCACTCTGGGATCAGGAATGGAACAGTATTGTCTTCAGTGACGAGTCTAGATTTTGTTTAGGCATGCACGATGGTCGTGCCAGGGTTAGAAGGCGACGTGGTGAAAGGAGGAATCCACAGTTTTTTGTTGAAAAACATGTTCATCACACTGTTGGAGTTATGGTTTGGGGTGCTATAGCTTATGGTTCCAGGTCACCTTTAATCTTCATCAGACGCGCAGCGTTATATCCACGAAGATCTAGAACCCCATCTTTTACCCTATCTTGACACCCTGGCTGATCCAATTTTTCAACAAGATAATGCCCGACCACATGTTGCAAGAGTCACAATAGACTTCTTTCAACATAATGATTCACATTGTTACCATGGCCACCAAGATCTCCCGACTTATCCCCAATTGAATGGGATATGATGGGTAGGAGATTGCTCAATTTGCAACGTCCTCCTCAGACTCTAGAAGCACTTCGAGAGGAGTTGGTGGTTGCCTGGAATGAGATACCACAGGAGGACATTGACCACCTGATCAGAAGCATGCCTAGGCGCGTTGAAGAATGCGTAGCACATCAGGGTGCATCCACACATTATTAAAGGTCAAAGGGCTTTAAAGCAGTGCAATCATTTTGAAATTTTTATCATTTACTTATTATGCTTCATTAAGTACTTATACAAAATTTTATTAAAATAAAACCATTTAAACTGGGTGTTCGGATTTATATGTCACTTAGTATATTTGGCAACAGTGGAGACGACGGGCTTAGAAGAGAGACAGAGGAACATGTGATGCACCTTTGGTACAAGTTTGAACTCGCTCCAGTCATTTGGTGTTTTTGCGAAACAGTTTTTTCTATTGTGTTCTAAAAATGAGTGATATCAAGTTGAAGCAACCGTGTGCTATCAGGTTTTGCGTCAGACTGGGTCACAGTGCCGGAAACTCTTGCTATGGATTTTAATAAAATTGTTAATTACCATAACACTCATGTATGGAGTGATGAAAATCCTCATGGTTACGTACAAAGTCGCCACCAGGAACAATTTTCTTTAAATGTGTATTGTTGTTGACAATTTGACTAGTCTTTTATTTTTACCCTTAAGATTAAACGGCGAATCTTACTTAGACTTTCGTTAACATGAATTGCCCGTACTGCTATAAGAAGTTTCTCTAAATTTAACCAAATAACTTTTATGCTCGATGCATCTGAATAACACCTTCGGTGAAAATTGGGTTGGAGGAGGTGGACTAATTCGCTGGCCACCTCGCTCCCCTGCCTTAAATCAAATAGATTTTTATTAATGGGGACTTAAAACGATGGTTTACGCTACTCCCATAGAAACAATAGAAGAATTTAGAAATAAAATCGTAACTGTTTGGGAAGAAAGAAGAAATGGCCTCGAATTCTAGCTCAAGTTTGTTGTTCAAAGATTTTTCTTCTCATGAGAAAGTGTACGGAAATGGATGGTGGACATTTCCAGCATTTGTTGCAGTGTTAATTTATGCCATGGGACCGTAAGTTGCAATAAGAGTCTTTTCTAAAAAAGATTTAGATTTTTTGTTTTTAAACAGCAGAAGCTGTACTTTTAAATGCTTAATCAAACGACAAATACGAGCCCCTTCCCACTTCAGTTGGCCCAACTATTGAAATCCTAGTTTTTTTATCAAACACAAATAATAAAAATGTAGCAGGGTGTTATAGGTTTAAAACATTAACAATTAATATTTTGATAATATATAGTAGAAAACACCAACTTTATCACTCCCTAATCAAATTTGCAGCATAAAAATAACACATGTTGCAATTACAGCATATCAACCTATTTTCATTTCAATGCAAAATAAGTCTATAACACATAGGTGGCTGTGAAAAATAGAAGCCATGACAATTGTTTTTATTAATCACAGCTGTCAGAATACGTTTAAAATAGTTTTGGGTAGTTAAGGTTTTCAAAATGGGTAGAGGAAAGGTTATTAGTGAGAAAATTCGGTTACTGATAATTAAATTTTTTAACTCTGGGAAATCAAACTTAGAAATTCCAACTTTGTTAGACTTATCGCGGTACAGTGTGAGAAATATTGTTAGAAGATATAACGTAACTGGATCAGTTAATATTAAGCCACGATATGTGAAAAAAAGTAATATCACAAATGCTGACCGAAGAGCATTAAGAAGAATAATCGTGAAAAACAGGCGTGCCAATTATTTACAATTAAGTGCTCTGTGGAGTGACGCTGTTGGAAGGAGAATTTCGTGGTCTACAACTCATAGAGAGGCCCACAAACTGGGATTTAGAACTTGCAAGGTAAGTTTTCTTATAAAAAAGAGTGAAGTAATAACCTTAAAGTTGCACAACTTGTTTATAGGCCAAAGAAAAGCCACTATTAACTCCACTGCAAAAGAAAAATCGGCTTAGATGGGCTAAAGAACATAGGCAATGGACCCCTCAACAATGGTGTGCAATACAATGGAGTGATGAGGCCCGAGACGAAGTTTGTGTTGGTGACAGTCGCAGTAGTTATTAGCAAAAAAATGAAGCATTCCATGTTGACTGTCTGAAGAGAAAAGTGAAATTTCCAGCATCCATTATGGTCTGGGGCAGTATGTCATCAAAAGGAGTAGGAAACCCTCATTTTATTGATGGAAATGTGGATACAAACAAATATTTGGCAATTTTAGAAGAATCGCTTTCACCAGTGATGGAAGAATGTTTGACATCCGGCCAAGACTTTGTGTTTCAGCAAGATGGTGCAGCGTGCCATACCTCAAAAAAGGCTATAAAATGGATGGAAGAAAATAATGTACCACTCTTGAAATGGGTTTCTAGCAGTCCAGATCTGTCACCTATTGAAACTTCGTGGCACGAGATGAAAAAGGTGCTCGTACAATCACCGAATTGAGACAAAAAAAGCTTCAAGAAATATGGGATTGTTTTACACCAAATTTTTGCCAAAACTTGGTTAATACTATGCCCCAAAGAATTTCAGCCGTAATAAAAAATAAAAGTGATGTTACCCAGTGGTAATCTTTCAATTGTTGCTTTGTTAACTTCGCGCATTTATTCGCACATTGTTTATTTGTTCAGATGGTCTATTAGTTATAAGTCTAAGTGATTTCAAATATGTATTTTTTACGACTAGAGCTTATCTAAAATATTTTTGAGAAAATAAATTGTTTTAGAAGTAAATAGTTTCGTCATGTCTAGCTTATAAAGGCATATTTTGGTACAAATCTTGAAATGGGCCAACTGAAGTGGGAAGGGGCTCGTATTACAGGAAGTGGCGTACATTTTTTTGCCAATAACATTCGCTGAAGTGCCCTCCAGGACGCCACTGGACGTGGATCTAATACTATTTATCTATTCAGGGCTAAATCAGCCTCTTAATACAACAAATAATATTACCCAATTTCAACAGAATCTAGTGAATATTTCTTCTTATGAACAATTTCTTTCTCAACAGGGTTCATATTTGATTTGCTGGAATGTTTCACAAAAGTAATCCTAGTAGTTTTCGATATCCATATGATTCGCCAAATCGTCGTGGAAGACTCTATATAAATGAAATGCAAATAGAAACGAAAATATTAAGCATACTTATGCAGATATGATTTGTAGAACTTCCGTTTTAAGCTGGGTAGGCCCCAGCTTGAACAAAACTATGTTTAACTGAAGGGTTATTGAGGTACAATTTTGTATAAGGTCAGTGGTAAACCAAGCTATTTGCTCTTGCATTCATTGTTAAACCCATCGTAAGATTCTATTATTACTATACTATAGATTACTTTTGTTTAAACAATCAAACACATTTTCTTGAAGCAGATTAGCTATTAATTGCATCATTACTTTAATGACTACCATACAATATTAAATTATGACATACACTCGTACTAAGATAAATAGAAAAGGTCAAATGTTCATAAATTCTGATTTTGAAGCATCATCATCCCCATCAAAACGAGACGTCTAGGTCTCATCAGATTATGATTTTCTTACAAACATTAACGTTGCACATTTACCTAGCAGGTGTTCTAGTAAAATGCACGCATCAATACAAAAACAACATCACGTGAAGCTCACCTATATCATATCTAAAACCATGTTCCGGATCCGTATCGCTCCCGGCACCAAGCACTATGTTCCGGGTGATGTGTTTCGTGTTTTCCTAAAACTTTTCAATCGTTTACGTGTAAAAACGTTCAGAATGACAACGACGACAGTGTGACTAGGATTCGTTGTGCGTTCCCCGCGACACGCCCCATTCCACTACTGCCTCTTCGTCGTCGGTTTTCGCTGGTTTTCCATTGATTTCCACGGAGTTACGTACAGGGTCGGACGCGGCGCAGACGGCGAGCGGAAAATCCGATGACGTTGCAATACGATTTTTCGAAGTGACTTTTACTTCCCACGTTCACGGGCGAGGAATGCTTTCGATCCGTGTACGCTCGACGAACTGGTTTGGCTGACTAATCCAACCATACTGCAGCGCACATAATAATAATAATAACGGTTTTATTATCCGATGGTTTCCGATTTACAAGATAATGTAACGATGAAATGACATGCCTTTATGAGCTATTATGTTCCAATCTAATGCAATAAGTAATAGTTTAAAAAAATGGACAAACACGCTTTTATAGCTAACCGAACTAAGAAGTCAAAAATATTTTTTAATTATAAAGAGTTTATATTACAGTAAACTCATTCAGTGAATATAAAAATACAGGGTGGCACATCGAAAACGAAACAGACGCATTTACTGGCAGCTCAGTTTTTTTTAACAACGCTCAGACCCGTTGAAACAAACCATGGGCGTAGTGAAGAAAAGCATTTACTTATTAAGTAAATTCCTTTAGTCATATTTCTTCTGAAAGTAGTACAAACTAATCTGATGTACCTATTAAAGTCTACTTTAAGCTTTAAATCAATAATTCTTCAAAACTACTGAACTGCAGCTCATGTGTTTTACATCAATATAAAGGGAATTGAAAGACCTTTAAAATAAGGTATCACTCGACCCCCCTTTCCATTTAAGATATTGGGGGTGGTGACACCCCCGCTTAGGGGGCTGCACGTGTTAACGTGATTTTTTGCCAAACTTGTGTCCCCCTCGAAAACAAAATCGAAGGGTCTGAGCGTTTTTCCAAAAAAAAAACTGAGCTGCCAATAAATGCGTCTGTTTCGTTTTCGATGTGCCACCCTGTATATCACAATGTCTGGAGTTACAGTTCAATTCATCACACATAGCATCGACTAGAGACTTGAATAACAAGCTAGTCTTACCTCCAGGCAGCTTAAATGTCGCATTACGCCGAGTTGAACATGAAGGCACAGCAGGAATTTCAATAAAAAAGACTCCGCCGTAAAGTGTCGTCTATAATCTAAGCTAGGTATTCCAAATCTACTAGATAATTCATAAATACTGATTCTCATTTTAAGATAAATGTCGTCAACTTTAAAAAAAAAATTTTTGGAATTTTCGGTCTAATGTAAGAATAATATGATTTTAGTCCTGATATTGTCAAACAACTTATCAAAAACACATATGCTCCTTAGTACTTCAGATATAGTTTTCTCAATATGTTTAGAAAAAGACAACTTATAATCGATAGCACCTAAATCGCTAATCAGGGTTTTTCCATCAATATTATATTTAAAATCTATGAATTTTTTCTTCCATGTCAAACTCGCTACCATACACTTATCTACATTTGGTGTTAATTTATTATTGTTACACCACTTTTGAACCAGGTCAAGCTGGCTCTGAAGTTCCAAGCAATCAGTGACGTCAGATATTGTCCGATATATTTTAAAATCACCAGCGAAGAACATGCATCAAATCATTTATAAAAATTAGAGGAACCAACGGTGCTACGTTTGATCCCCGTGGAACTCCATAGCTCCATAGGCTTTACCCATTATACAAGACGAATTGCTTCCTGTCTGTTATGAATGATAAGTTCGCAGCCTCATCAGAAAATCCAAAATCTACTAATTTGTCAACTAAAGCACTATGATTTACTTAATTATAAGCTTTAGCAAAATCTGTATATGTAATGGTGGATACATAACTCGAGAGCTGATTCTCAATTGCGGAATAAATGCGGCCGTGGAAAATTATCTCAAAAATATTGCAAACAATTGACACAGGCCTATGATTAGTAATATTATTTTTGTCACGACCTTTATACACAGAATTTCCCTATTTTCCACATACGAGTATTTAGAAAAGTATTGCTTTTTCAGAATAAGTTTCACAAAAAGGTGAGTGGATTAGCTATCGCTGGTTGCAGTATCCTTGATTTAAAATGATGGTATATTGTACTGACCAGATGCCATTTTGTTTTTCAGTTTCTTAATAGTGGACAGAAATCCAGATTTTTGGATAGGCGTACAACGAATTCTATTCGTAGCACGCTTATTTTTATTTGTTGATATGTAGGTCGAAATTGGGACACTCTGTATAATAGGCAATATTTTAGAAATGTGCCCTTTAAATGTCATGTATACTAAGTGACATATAAATCCGAACACCCAGTTTAAATGGTTTTATTTTAATAAAAGTTGGTGAATGTATTTATCTTACTGTAAATAACAAGTGAAAAAATTTTCAGCCTTATAAGTTGGACATTCCGGTTTTTATACTGCTTTTTTTTAATTCACTAACGCTCTAAAAATGAATATTTCAGCCGCAGTAAAGAATCAACGTTGGAGGATTTTGGTTCTTGACATCCTTTACCATCGGTTACGATGCCTAGAGTACGGAAACCTGTACGATTTCGTCAACTTAATGAGTTTGATAGGGGCCGTATAGTGGGACTTCGGGAAGCTGGACTTTCTTTTCGGGCAATTGCAGTTAGAGTGCAAAGAAGTGTAGACACTGTGGTTAGGTGTTATCAGGCATGGCTTCGAGAAGGCCGTACGCAAAGAGCAAGGGGCACTGGACGCCGCCGTAGAACAACAGACCGTGAAGATCGCCGCCTAAGGTTATTGGCCTTAAGGGACCGTTTCTCCACTACCAGGTCCAATGCAAATGAATGGTTTGCAGAACACGGAAGACCTATTGGCATGCGAAGTGTTTACCGACGAATGAGAAGTTTTGGCTTGTTTTCATACCGGCCACACTGGGTCCTCCCTTTAACTCGAGAACACCGAAGTAATCGCCTTGAGTGGTGTAGACAATGGTCACTCTGGGATCAGGAATGGAACAGTATTGTCTTTAGTGACGAGTCTTGATTTTCTTTAGGCATGCACGATGGTCGTGCCAGGGTTAGAAGGCGACGTGGTGAAAGGAGGAATCCACAGTTTTTTGTTGAAAGACATGTTCATCACACTGTTGGAGTTATGGTTTGGGGTGCTATAGCTTATGGTTCCAGGTCACCTTTAATCTTCATCAGAGGTAACATGAACGCGCAGCGTTAAACCCACGAAGTTCTAGAACCCCATCTTATACCCTATCTTGACACTCTGCTAGATCCAACTTTCCCACAAGATAATGCCCGGCCACATGTTGCAAGAGTCACAATAGACTTCTTTCAACATAATGATGTCACATTGTTACCATGGCCACCAAGATTTCCCGACTTATCCCCAATTGAGCACGTGTGGGATATGATGGGTAGGAGATTGCTCAATTTGCAACGTCCTCCTCAGACTCTAGAAGCACTTCGAGAGGAGTTGGTGGTTGCCTGGAATGAGATACCACAGGAGGACATTGACCACGTGATCAGAAGCATGCCTAGGCGCGTTGGAGAATGCGTAGCATATCAGGGTGCATCCACACATTATTAAAGGTCAAAGGGATTTAAAGCAGTGCAATCATTTTGAAATTTTTATCATTTACTTATTATGCTTCATTAAGTAGTTATACAAAATTTTATTAAAATAAAACCATTTAAACTTGGTGTTCGGATTTATATGTCACTTAGTATATATCAAGCCATAAATATATTATCCCAAAATTTATTTGTTTATGTGTAATATTCCGTCCACACATGAATGGGCCACCCTGTACATTCTCAAGAAGTTCTGCAAAATCATTCATGTAATAACTGTAAGCCTCTTTTGTTTTAGAATTTACTAGTTACCTAATCCTTTTGAACTCGCAAGTCTGAATTATTTCCAAATTTTTTATATTTCTTCCTAAATTTTGCCTTGAGCTTGATATTCTTAATTATTTCTCCATCAAACTATGCTGGATATCTATGACTGTAATTTCTGTATTCGGTTTGTCGGCATTAACCCTATTTTTCAAAAATCCCCTTAAAAAGACATCACCAAATCGAGAAATTAAACGTCCCGGAAATATTGCTCGCAAAAGATTCATACTAAACACCGCTCCAAACTGCAAACGCGAGGGTTTTTTAATGACCAGATACGACAATTCTGCTTATTAACAATTACTGAGCACATTAGCTTTTGAATCGTTGCAAAAATCCCCTCATTATTGGAGTAAAACGTTTTAACAATACGGACGTGTTGTGGGATCGTGTGCTTTAAACAGCTATTACGGCGTCACCATATGAAATACATGTATCAAAACTGACGCGCAATTTAAATCAGTCAATATATATTGGCCACCCTGTATATCAGACTTTTGGTCAAAGCTGCGAAAATTGGAGCAGTGCGTTTCTGTCTAGAAGATTCACTCCACGTATTCATACATTTTGCGACTTGTTCTTCTAAATTATTTGTTCTATCCTTAACAGTTCTAGTAGTCCAGTAGACATAATCATCTTTGATTAATTGCAGAAACGTATGGCTGTGTTAGTCCGTCAATACATATCTCTGTGATAGTTTAATCTCTTAAAGCTTAGGGCGTAGTATTATTTGTTTTATCAGTAGCCGCAGATGTTATCCCACATATGTGAATCAATGCTGAAGGTGATACTTTTAATTAATCATTGTCCATACAGGAATTCGATATATGCTTTTAACGACTCAATGGCTTTCTTTTTTATAAAACTACATATTTGATTGCTTCCTTTCTCTATATTTAAGGATCACTGCGGATGTATACTAAGTGACATATAAATCCGAACACCCAGTTCAAATGGTTTTATTTTAATAAAATTTTGTATAAGTACTTAATGAAGCATAATAAGTAAATCATAAAAATTTCAAAATGATTGCACTGCTTCAAAGCCCTTTGACCTTTAATAATGTGTGGATGCACCCTGATGTGCTACGCATTCTCCAACGCGCCTAGGCATGCTTCTGATCAGGTGGTCAATGTCCTCCTGTGGTATCTCATTCCAGGCAA